TAAAAGGAGCAGTCCCTCGTGAAAAGGACGACGATGACGACGTACCTGGGGCAAATCCGGGAGGAAGGAAGTGTAGAAAGGGATGGTCGACTCCGGATTGTCCCGAGTAGGAAAACGGCCGAAAGTTCTGCATGTTCGGCTCGCAGCAGTTTAAGTTTCCGCGTACTGAAGTTATAACGAGAATTGCTCTCACTCTCCCTCCCCCCTCCTACCCCTTCCTCTCATTCTCTCTCTCTCTCTCTCTTTCTCTTTCTCGCCGTAAAGTTTTCCATCTTCGAGTTTCACCGTGCGCATATATTTTTCCCTATTTTTCTCACTCTTCCTCTCTCTCTCTCTCTCTCTCTCTCTCTCTCGCCTTACGTTTTTCCTTGTGTCGCCCCGTCTTTCTCTTTTCCTCTCGTTTCTATTTATGTGACATACGCTACCGCGGAATTGTTCGCGTGCATATACTCGCTGTGCAGTGCTCGTTCCCGTGTAAGTCGTGTACATTGCAGGCATTTCTTTTTTTTTTTTTTTTTTTTCGAATGCAAGACTTCACCCCGTCTCTGTCTTTCACCCTTCTCCTTTCGAGAGTCCTCTCTGCCGCCACACTCGTTCCTATTGCCTTTCTTCACGGCGGATATTCGTACGGCAAGAATAAAACGCTGGCATATTTCAGACTTATTGCCCCCTCCCCTCCCCCCTGCCGTTCGCTGAGTATTCTCGGCTCTCCTTTATTGCGCCTAGTTTCATTCTTTTCCAGTTTACGGTATTACCGCAACGGTATTACACGTGTTTCAGCGTTCTTATCCTCGTCCTGTGCACAAAACCACCGCTCGATCCCGTAGTTTCTACCGTTTTGCGAATCTTCTATTCGTTTACGAACTATAACGTTTTTAGCTCGCTTACAAATATTGCAAATATTCTCCAAATCAAAGAAGAATCATTCTAACACTAAAACTACGTATTCTGAATAAATTCAGAACGTCACTTTTTATGAAATCTCTCTTTTATGAAGTCAATTTGAAACATATCTCAAAAAACTAAAGAGAAAATTTGATTAATGCAGTTTTTCAAGATTTTTATAATTTTTAGTTTAAACAATGCGCCGAGAAGATAGAATCGAAAAAATAATGCTTTGACAGGTTCCTTTGAAAATAAAATCTCACTGTGTTTCCCCAATATTATATTCGATATTTTTTTGCGCAACATGCTAAATACATATAAATAGCGGTCTATATTTTTGTTTTCGTCGAAAAAACATTACTGTTTTTCTAAAAATCGAATTTTGTATGCCATACATTTAAACATAATTTTTAACCCTTGCTATCAGGCAGAATGTTTTGATAAATAATATATATTTATTTTAAAAAGGTTCAATTATTACTCAATAAAATTTTCCATGCAACCTCATCCATTGTAAATAATTTTAATAACAAAACTATTTATGCAAATATTATACTAGCAATAAAAAAAAATCCAGATTGTTGTAATATTATCGATTTTCTTAGAGTTCCAGATACGTTCTGTCACTATTTTCCAAAACAATTAATAGTTTGTTTCTGTATTATCGTTATCCGAATAGCTCGGATTAATTTCAATGTGTCTGATTATTGATACTGTCGTATTACTACGGAAACCCTATTACACTGTCAGACTGTCGCTTAAGTACCGAATGGTACTTTGGGTAAGGTTCCCAATAATCGATACTGTAAATGGTTGGAATGGTTTCGACCCTTTGACCCGCATTGATCCACGAGAATATTGTCGCTGTTTGTCAAATCTTACGTTATTCAAGAATCAAAAAATACGCGATACGTAGTACGTTCAAAAAATAACTAACGCAACTCGAGGTAAACTTACTTGATGTCGTGAACACAAAGTTGTACAATTTTTATTTTTACATTGAAATAAATTAAGTTTTTAATAAAGGGAGCATTATAGCATAAAAGTCAAAGTTCCAATTCCATCAGACAATTTGAATAACAATCATCTAATTTTCGAGGTTTTCCCTTTCTTTTTCTCTCCACTTTCCTTCCTCGAATCTCTTATTACCAATTAAATTGCACCTGCAGTTTTCTGATTTCTGTAACAATCAACGAGTTAAGCTGCTCCAACTTTGAAATCCTACCATTGTCTTTAATGTCTAGGAATGATTCGCCGTAACGTCGTCGTCCCACAGCGAGGATAGGTGCAGCAAGAAGAAGGGCGCAGAACGGGCGTGCCCGAGAATGGGCTCGGATAGCGGTAGCGTTTCAAGTAGCATTTCCTTGGCACAAACGACCCTCTTAATCAATCGCTAGCACCTCTCTTCTTCTCCGGCTGCTTTGGCTCTACAGCTTCGAGCTGTGCGTGGAGCACCGTCCCTCCACCTCTTGCTGCCGGAAGTCTAAAGCCCCCGTAACAAGCCGCAACTTCGATAAATCTCCCCACACCGTCTTTCTTTCCCCGAGAGCCGCGATTCCGCGGCATTAGCAAGAACGAAAGGAGAAAGCCGAGCAAAAGATATATCTCGAATCGATTTCGGCGAAGGCGCTCGAGGGATACGATACGAAAAGGGGTGGGGGTGGGGGAGGGGGAGGGGCAGTGATGGGAAGCGAGGGGACTGCAAATCGGGGTACAGGAGAGAAAAACTTATGAAAATCCGGGATTTATGGGGACCTGTGAGCGAGAATCGGGCCAAGCCGCGCCGCTGTAGTTCGGCTCTGACAAATCGTCCGGAAGTTAACGTTCTCGATCGTCTCTGGATCGCCTTTCCGCAAACGCAAATCTCTCCCTTGGTGCCCTGTTCTGGGCAAGAAGAAGAAAAAAAAACTTTCGACCCTTTCGATATATCCGTATTTCGTATTAAAAGTTTACTCGCTTCAACGGCAAACGCTTTCGACGAAGTTAAAGTTGTTTCTTTTTGAAAAGTCGGAAAATCAATAAACGCCACGATATTGGTTTCAAATATTCTTATATTTTGTTTTACCGTTTGGTTACTTTATAGTGTACCGTGAAGCATGTTTTCGCAAAACTTACGGTAAAAAGAACGAAGACTGACAAAGTCAAATTATAACTGAATATTATAAACTCAATGTAAATCGATAAACGTAATTGAATAAACGCTGGTAATGTATTTTATGATAATAGATTTTATCGTTAATTCTACGTACTGTGTTTACTTCTCACGTTAATACAACAAATTTTTTTTTCAAATAAATAAAAAATAGACATTTCACATCCAACTTCATATTCAGACAACTGATTAGAAAAAAATTACGAATTTCCTCAAATTACGAAAGATTTTAAATCATAGTATCAGGAAAATCACGTTTTTTTTTTTTTGCTATCACGTTCCATCATATTGTCTGCCGTGAGTAATATTCCAAGGTAAACTTTTCAGATTGATTTCAAGATTCGTCAATAGATTCGAACCGAAAGAACGATAGCGATCAAAGATATTCTACAGAAAGATAGATATGTAAGAATTTTGTACAAAGTATTTGCCACTCCATAGCATCGAATTTGAAATATAATCCCTGATTGGTGAAAGAGATCCCAACACTTATGTCTCTCTCAATCTTCGAGCATGAAAACCCACGTATTTCTCACAGAATTTTCGTGCTGAAGTTCTCCATATCGGCAGCCATTCGTAAAAAGACCGGAGTGGAATTACTGCAGGAAGGAAGGAACATGAATGCTCCGATTGAATGGAAAATGGCAACTATAAGGAAAGTCTAAAAGTTTCGAGCTTCGGAAAACTGAAAATGTGGAAAGGCTGTGAGTTTAAGCACCGATATAAACGATCGGGCTCTTGCTTTCGGCGCTCGAGAAACGATCCAATCCGAATAGTCACCTGCGCCGTTTAGAAGGAAGCAATAATCGTTTGATTCTGTGCATTTCTATAGTAGAATCCCCGATTGCCAGACCTTTTGTTCGTATAAGAAGGTATAAGATTGAAAAGCCTGCTGTACGCAGAGATAAACGCGATGTCCAAAAGATTTGATGTACTTCTTTATCTCATCTGTGCATTGCTCATCTTCATTTATTTATCTTTATTTAATGTGTTCATTAAATCTTAAACTAATCTGATATCAGAGTACATAATGTATACTGCGATAATAATCGATTAATTATTTACTTAAAAAATAAATTAATCCTACCTTTATAAGACGATAAAAACGTCTTAATTTTAGTATTGAAATTCTAAGTATCATTATTGATTGTATCTGAATAAACAAACGTTTTAACTGCAATTTTGTAAATCCTGCTAAGAATAGTTATCGGTAATGCAAGTAGATCGCTTTGTCGAGGAAAGTCTCGGATCTGAATGCATAAAGCAAGGATTACTCTAATCCATCGAAATAATTTTGCATTAGAGCACACACGAGATTGGATACGGGGCTAATCTACTCGGACCAGGAGCGAGTGCTCTTCGAAAACGCGGGAATTAAACGCAATCCCAAAAATATGAGGGAAGCGAACTTCGTTATAATAAATTCTGGAGTAACCAATAGAAATTTATGCGTCGTATAAGCCAATCATTTATTATATACCGTCACGATTCTCGGAGATAGTCTTTTTAGCTCTTTAGTAACCGCAGTAAAGAGAAAAAACAAAATATAACAATGGATCTTTATGCAAAAAAAAATTAAAAGTAATAAGAAAATCAAGTGGCTCCTATTACTGACTTTAAAAATTAATTTATACCCAATAAAATTTAATATTGTAATAAACTATAATCTCAATAATGTGATATAATACAAAGTTAATCGAGTTAATCTTTGCTTTATGTTTCTAAAACACTGCCTTTTCGTATTGCATTGATCGTTTTCAGCTATTATGACAAAACTTTAATATATCAATATAATTTAGTCGACTACCGGCTCATAGAACGCTATTTTCTTAGAATTACTTGTCCGATCGTAGCAACTTTCATGTCTCACCATCTCTTACGATATCATAACAAGCGCACTTCTAAGCACCTTTTGTGTTTGATCAGTAAGCAAACGTGAAGAAGAGGATAAGAGGCAAGTTACCTGCGCCAGCCGCCCCTAGCCTCAGGACTGCATCGCTTTGAAGAGAGATAGAGAGGGTGGCGGTGTCCTCGAGGCGGGCGAGGACCTCTTCGGGAATGTCCTCGGGTTCGCGGAGGCGGAGAGTGACTTCACCCCCGCCTCCGCTACTCTGGCCACCTCCACCCCCGGGACTCGTCGACGCCGAGTACATGAACACAGATCCGTATCCATGTAGTGACTGCAGTGGCAGCCTCACGCCGCCCACCTCTCCGACAGGACCCTGAAAATAAAAATATGAATTATCGTTAGAGAATACGGACTAATCGAAGTAATAATCTTAATTATATACGTATAACTATGTTAAATTCTTTGTCTCATTATACTTTCATAAATAATTTTTAACAATCTTAAAAGAAAATAAGTTGAAAATTATTTATTCTTTATCAGTGAGATGTGTATTTCTTATTATGTAAATTCGTAAACTGATAAAATATAGCTAACGATATAATGATCCTAATTAAACAGAAAACAGTAACTTTGCAAGTTAATCTTTGTGTTTGCATTATTTTATCTTGATACTTTGAGTTTTATGAAAATTTAACGATATCTTTCATGCACGGTGTATAGAGAGAAACAATAAAAAGAAACGATAGTTCTGTTTCGTCAAATAAAACGACCGTAAAAACACTCGATACATATGTTACGTCCTGTGGAATAGTATCCAGGAGCCGCATAATATTTGCCATGGAATTCGATTGGTAGAACGAGTGGCCGGAAGGCGCGTCTGAATCGATTGATGTGTCATATTAAATTTAAGGCTAGAGTTTTCTCTTCGTCCAGCCGTATCCCGCGGGAAGACCTTCGTTCTCTTTCACCGTTCCTCTTGTCTCTCGTCTCGTTTTTGCCGCCGCCGTAGCCTAACGTTCTCTTTTACGTACAGAAATATTTTGCCAATTTCGCTGTCGATGCAAATTTCAATTCGCGAGCGTCAATATTTGCTGAATCGCGCCGAAAAAGGATTTTGATGTACTGGCATTTTATCCGCCATCGAACGCGCGTTTGACTTCCACGTGAAAAAGACTCTACGCCGCGATGAAAAATAAAGACAGAAAATTCCTGACAAATACATGAATGGAAAATGAAATAGATCTTTCTTCTCATTCAGATTACAATAAAAAAAGATAGAGAGAGAGAGAGAGAGAGAGAGAGAGAGAGAGACCTCCTCTAGTAAAAGTTCGACTTTGCTCGAGATATTTTAATGGAACGAAGAGATTCAATTATCGCCGCGCGTGTTTCTCCACGCGCACAGTTTCTGATATGCTGTCGGATGTAATAAGGAATATCGAAGAAACGTACTGATAATGATAGTCGATATTACTCAGAAAAAGTGCGATGCAATATCGAGATACAATGGAAATTGTCCAATGTTTTGTATCACGCGATCGATCGATAAGTTAATGTCACTATATCCAGTGAAATGGGATTATAGTGTTCACTATAAATGAATTATTCTGCTATTTCCCAAACCCGCTAGAGAAATAGAGAAAGAGAGAGAAAGAGAAAGAGAGTTGGTCTTCGGCAAAGTTTATCGATATTATATAGCACGTGAAAATTAATAAAAAGATATACTTTATTAAAACACAGCTTAACAAATAGTTCATAGAATGTATTTTTTTTTTTTGTATAAAACAGAAAACAATGCCATTTTACAAATGGAAAAAAAATATTATTGACAATCTGATGTAAGCAAACTGATAGAAAAAATTTGTTGGTCGTTATCAATAATAAAAAAAATATTTTTTGGAAATGCACATGCAACGTCAAAGCTAAATATAGATATATTTGTGCCAAGCATAAATTTGAAATAACAGATGTTGTTAGTTTCCGTAAACAGGAAAGTCGGCCGATTCGCGTACAAGCCAGCGAGAATTAAAAATATCGGTGTAATACTGGTACAAACAAGGTTTACTGGAAATGTTTGTAGAACTCGGGCACGTATAAATGCCATCTGTATAAAGGCAATGTGCCCGGATAGTACAAATACCGGTTTTAATTCCGACGCGAATCTATACAGATGTGAACCGCACAAACAGAGAGTGTACTCCGTTTACCGATTAAAATATTATGCGCTATGATAATTGGAACAAAAAATGTACCTGTATAGCAGTAAAAAAAATACGCAGGTAATAATATTATGAAAGGAAAGTTTGTGAATATTACTGTGAAAATTTATAAAGGTATAAATATAGTTATATCTTCACCATAAACATCTAGTAATTCTATTTTTAGTCAAGTCTATGTCTATCTGAGAGATGTATTCTATTAGATAGATAACTCTTTAGAAAGATTATTATAATTTAATCAATCAATGTAATATATTTCAAACTCTCCTTTGTTACAAGGAAAAAGGTGGAGCCATAATTAAATATTAATATAGAGATTGAAGTCTAAATATCAACCATATCCCCTCTACAAAGTAGTTAAAAAAACCTACATTTACGAAGAACATATTAACTAAAGAATTCTATTCAATTGTCCGAATAACTAAAAATAATGCAAAATCTTATTGAGAAAAAAAAACATTAATCATTATTATCACTTTTTATCTACTTTCGCAATAAAATTTACAAAAAACATGAACACTTTATATTAAAATGTTATTATTACTTAACCAATATTTTTTTATAATATGCATGAAAAATATATATACATATAATCGTATGGTTAAATCATATGGAAAAAAGACAAGTGTTCTAATAATACCCAATACTGTTTGTACATAAAGTTATTAAACATCACGGAGGAGAGGGTTAACGGTAAAATTTTAATCGCATTTTTACAAATTTCAAATGCGATTTGTAAATGTTTTCGATGCCATAAACATCCTCAAAAATGTTTCCAAAGCACGGTACGCTTAAGCTGGGAAATTTCAAGTTCGCACGTATCCCCGTAATGCATCCGATTTAATGGCCAGTGCCGTGTATCCGGTCGCGCGAATTTTCCCATTGTTAGCGGTCCAGGCGCGAGCCGCGTACTCTCTCTATTATTTACGTAAATTGATTCGTACCGCTGACTATTTCCGCGTCACGTATTCGCAGCCATCGAGCTAGCCGGCGTTATAGGCGGCCAGCACAAGCCGTCGCTATAGCCGCGTGATGAGAGTAATTTATTTTAATGGTCATTTTCGTAATGGGTCTTTGAACAGGGCGCATGAACATCTCTGAATAGGACACGTATAGCGTAACACGGCAATCCCCCTTCCTACTTCTGCTTCTCCGTATACACGTGGTGGTCGACGTACTCCACGCGCGCGCGCGCGCGAGAGAGAGAGAGAGAGAGAGAGAGAGAGAGAGCACGGCGAGAATGCACGGTAACTGTGCCATTCGCGAAAATGGCACCTGTTACCGGAAACAATGCCCGTCGTCGTCTCTCCACGCTTTTCCATTTTAGCAACCGCGAAAACTTTTCTGTTCCACCTCGCTCTTTCTCGTTTTTACGGCCGGCATTGTAGTACGACGGTGTAACGGAGAATCCAGTACAATTGGCAAAGCGACGGCCCATTTATGACGCCCGGGGATCATTTCCATGAAGCCGCAATTAATTGAATCCGTCCCGAAAACCGTGATTTATATGACGCGTTCAGGATACGTTTTTCGTAATACGAAAAACGGCACGATACAGACATTACGTTCATTATATACGTATATATATTATACGACGTTTTACTCTCCGTTACCCCGGCGAGGGAATATTTTTTGAAATCACTTTTATATAGCAAGTACATCGAGTAAACGAGGAGGGTACCGAGAGATGCCAGAAAGTTAAATCGATTTCAAGTTCACCGGAAGAACGAGGGGACTTTCCGATTCGACTTTCGCTATGGCAGCAAAAGCGAGCTTCAAAGTCGGAATCCGGCGTTCTCGCTCGGCAAGGCGGAAGATTACGGTAATAGATACGGCAGGGATATCTCTGAGAATCGAGCAGAGCACACATCGCTCGGGATCGACGTCATTCTCGATACACGCTATTACACGTGCTCGGTCAAGAGCAAAAGTCTCCCGTGGATATTCGAATAAATATCTACGACACTAGCGGGGCACTTTGAAAAAAGAACTAATAAATATACGATGCTTCGAGTTTTTTAGATTATACTTTTTGTTGTGGGCTTTAAAAATGCCTTTTTATCGTTCCCCACTGATTCGTAAATCGTGTCCCAATACTTATACTATTATCTATACATTCTATCTCCTTCCTACTTCTCCCATTTCTATATCCTTTCTCCTTAAAAATCTCTATATGGAAAAAAGAATTTTGCTGCAATTTTTAAAATAACTAGACACCGATCTAAAAAAAATTTTGTTTGAATCATAAAAATAATTATGCTCACACACAAACCAATTGGTAGAATGTTAACTTTTTATAACGTTATTCATCATGTTTGAACGTTCTACATTTCTACATAATAATTTTGATATTTCAACAAAATTATTTTCAGACTAGATCTGTATCTAGTTAAACCTTAGAGACTTCAACAAAATTGTTTTTTTTCCATATGATGTTCGAAGTTCCACATCGATAATAACTCAAAAGAACTTGAGAACGTCAAAATATGTTCTCATTGTGTGTAAAAGCTGCTAATTGATAAAATCAACGAACCAAATTATTTAAGATCAAAATACTTTATTAAAGATCGAGGAAAATTCACAGAAATTATGTTTCTTATAAAATTGTGATAACAAGAATTTTTTATAAAATATAGAAACGAATCGATTCTCTCTTCATGATCGAAACGTAAAAATAAAAAAAGTAAATAAATAAAAGGAGAAACGAAAATACCGTAGCAATATATTATTTTATAGTTAAAAATGATTTTATCGTTTAGGGATTTTAACGGATATAATTTTTCACGACGATGTCGACGCTTCGAATTGCTCCTGGTGATGAAGAGCCGACCTCTTTGGGATTTAGGAAGAAGTAATAACAAACGGAAACTACAACTCTCGGAAGCCTGATAGATTTTATTCCGGCACGTATGCAAATTGACAAATTGAATTCACTTCGCGCGCCGTTCCCAAATAAAAGAGAACGATACAAGCCGATATATGGCCTGCAAAAAACCGAATGAAAAGCGGATACGGCCGCGATTTCACGCTGGAGTGCTATTCCGATTTCGGAACATTAATCAGCATCTTTCGTTCCGGAATTCCCAATAAACAGTGCCCAAGTATCAAGTGATTATTCATTCGGGATACCGTAAATGTGCGACAATTATTTCGATTT